TAACATGAAACTTTATATTAATAACTTGAAGTTTTGTCCTCAGAAATGTAACAGAGAAGTAGGTAGATTAGTAAATTAAGCCATCAAAAGAAGCATGTAGAAATGAATACATAAGAAAATCAATGGATAAATGAGTGTATGGACAGGTTCATGAGTTAATGAAATAAACACACTAAGCACTGGATTATACTGGATTCAACTTGTAGGTCAATAGGTGGTTCCATTGGTGGATGAATGGGAGAATGAATAGACAAACAAAAGAGGAATGCAAAGGCCTCTTAGTGAAAGGATTAGGAAATGCAACCCCTTGATAGGAGAGATGAGTGTATGAATGAATCAATGGCCAATAGTTTATTCAACTCTATTGATCAAAGGAACAACACTTACATTGATTCAGTGAAATAAATAAATATAATGCCTACTTTGGTGGTTAAAGAATCAATAAATACACAAATAATTAATCAGTTGATTTATAAGTGGCTGACTGGAAGGATTCAAGGTGAATATGTGTTTGTGTGCATGTGTATGTGTATGTGTGTGTGTGTGTGTGTGTGTGTGTGTGTCTACACATGGGTGCATGAGTGCATGTGAGTGTGAATAAGTGTCTAGTATGAAGATAGAAGGATGAATGAGTAAATAGGTCTTGGAGAGATTGATGTTTAGTTGTATGAGAATTACTGAAGGGAGAGGCTGATGACATGTTCATTGATGGGTGGATAATAGGTGGGTGATTGAACAGAATAAGTAGATACATGAAGAGGTGGATGCAAAGAAGGACGAATAATAGGTGAATGTAAAGATTGCAGGAAGTCAGGAAGGACGGAAGGAAGGAAGGGAAGGATCAACCTTTAATAGAGACAACAGAAAACGGGTCAGCTGAGTGTTCGCTCACATTCCACCCACAGCACTGCCTTAGTTTACAAGTTGAACAAAGCAATTAGAGTTCCAGATGTCCATGTGGCTCTCATCCACTCAAATTCCCACATCCAAAGGTAGATAGAAAATCCTCCAACTGTCCACCCATGGTGCACCTGCAACGTGGGGGTACTTGAGCATGAACAGGAAGCCATAGCGGAGCGTGGTGCTACTGGTCTCAGTTCCAGCAAAGAAGAGAGAGAGCACAGACATCATGAGGTTCTGGTGATGGAACTCTGTGTGGTGGTTGGACTTCTCCTGGTTCCAGATGGGAGAGAGAAGAGAGGGTCAGGGGTGACTGGACCTTTGCAAGGAGATGTACACATATCTCTGGTCACTGTCCTTCTGTCTGTGAGTCTCATACTATCTGGACCTCTGGACATTACTTGGCCCCAGACAATATGCCTTGGATTCTTCTATCTTCTTTTTCTACTTTGTTCTTCGGTGGTTTATCATGTTCTGTCTCCTAGGCTCTTTGTTCCTCTGTGGTCTTTTCTACTTTTGCCCCTTGCCCTGTGTTTCTTCCCCAGCCACACACCTTCTCTTTCTCTATGTCATTTTCTCCTCCCTTCTCTTTTCTTCCAGACATTCTACATCTCCTCCTCTCTGTTTCTGCCTCTCCTCACCATCCGCTGTCCCCTCCCATCTTTCTCTCCACATCCCCATCCTTCACTCTCACCCACCCCCTCTCTCATCCATGCAAGACTAACCTTCTCCATGCGCAGAAGGTAGGTATCAATGAAGTCTCGTGGAGTGCTGGGGTCCAAGGTGGCCCTGTGCTGCTCCACACTATGGCCAATGTAGTCAAGGATTTCCTGGAAGTTTTTGGCGATTTGTCTGTGCGTGCCAGGAAAGTACTTTAGGACAGCAGAGAAGAGCTGAAACACCTGCAAAAGAAGGGCCCAGGAGGTCACCTAAAATATCAGGTCACAGGAAATGGGCAGTGTTCTGTTTCTAGGTTTCCTAGGAACAAGTTTCTCTCTCCTTCCATCCTCTCCTCTTCCCTCCCTTGGTCCTCCTTCCCACTCTCACTCATCTTCTCTTGTTCCTTCGTTTTCACTGTGATGCACATAAAAACAACACAGCATCCTATCAGACGATCTCTGAATCTTTCTCCAGCACTCTCTTGCCTTGTATTCTCTATCCTCTTTTTCTCTCTTCTCTTTCCTAAACCATCATTTAGGCATTGTTTTTAAATCAGATCTCATATTTTTCAGATTGTCCTCAAACTCAGAACTTATCCAAAGTTGACTGTGAACACTGATCGCCCGTGTACTGGGATTGAATACATGTATCACCATAACTGGCTTATGTCGTGCTAGGGATGAACCCAGGGATGAATACAGGATAGATAAGTCCTATATCATCTTAGCTACAGCCAGAGATCCTGGGTCATCATTATCTTCATGTCTGTCTGGATGGCTGTGTATTCCTACATTGAGGTCTCTCCTCCTTGCTCATCTTCCCTCCCTTTGCCTC